TGAATGGCCCTTTATAGCTTTTGAAAACGGAACTGACATTGGAACCCCAGCCCACAGATGGTGGGTTGGAATTTATGGCCGGTAGCTTACCAATTCAAGTGCCTGATAAAACAATAATATCAACATTCTCCGTAGATTTACATAAGGCACAAAATTTTATAAGAACAAGATGTTCAGGATACCGTTTATATTGGCATATGAAGAACTACAAAAATTTCAAATCATGTGGAAAAAGACAATCAATGGGTGACAATGGAAATATGACTTCAAAGCAGCTATTATAAAAATGCTAAAATGAATTATCATGAATCCTGAAATAAAAGTTATGATAGGAAGTATCAGGAAAGAAATAGGAGATATGAAGTAGAACCAAATGGAAATTTTAGAAATGAAAAATACAATAGGCTTTCTACCTCGCCCCCCCCAAAAAAAACAAAAAACCTCACTCTATTGATTTAATAATAGAGTGGAGATGACAGAGGAATCAGTAAACCTGAAAAGACATCAATAGAAATTATCCAATGTGAACAAAGGGGAGGAAAAAGATTGAAAAATATTGCACAGAGACCTTGGGACTGTTGGACAATAGCAAAAGGCATAATGTTTCTATCTCTGGAGTCCAAGAAGGAAAGGAGAGAAAGAGTGTGGCTAAAAAAGTATTCCAAGAAATAATGGTTGCAAACTTGCCAAGTTTGGCAAAAGACATAAACCTATAGATTCAAGAAGCTAAGCTAACTCTAAACAAGATAAACCCAAAGAAATATACACCCAGACGTATCATAATGGCTGAAAACTAACGACAAAGACAAAATCTTGAAAGCAGTCAGAGAAAAGTGACACCTTGTCTATAGGAGAATAGTGATTCAAATGACTAAGATTTCTTATCAGAAACCATGGAGGCCGGAAGGAAATGGTATGCTATTTTTAAAGTGCTGTAAGAAAAGTGTAGAATTTATTATCCAGAACAAATATCCTTGAAGGTGAAATGAAGACATTTTGAGATGAGGGAAAACCAAGAGAATTTGGAGTTAACAGACCTACTATAAAATAACTAGTTAAGGAAATTCCATAGACAGATGAGAAATGATACCAGAAGGAAATTTGGAATATCAATAATGGAGGAAATGGTAAATATAATAGACTATTCTTCTTTTCTTGAATTATTTAAAGTATGGTTCATGATTGAAATCAAAGTAAAACATTGTCCGATGGGAATTTTCAGTGTGTTTAGATGTAGTATATAAGACAACTTATAAAGGGAGAGAATGAGGGGACCTATATGATGTTATGGTAAGCAGAGTAATTTCCTCCCTGTTTCCCACAGATATCTACATCCTAATCCTGAGACCCTGTGAATATGTTACATTAAATGGCAAAAAGGACTTTGCAGATGGGATTAAGACTGTAGACCTTGGGATAGAGAGAGATCCTTTATTGTCCTGGCAGGCCAAGTCAAATCACATGAGTCCTTAAAAGTGGAAGAGGGAGGCAGAAGAAAGGATCAGAGGGATGCAGTGTTGAGAAGGACTTTCCTGGCTGTTGTTAGCTTTAAAGATGAAGAAGAGGGCCAAGAAATGTGGGCAGCCTCTAGAAGTTGCAAAAGGTTCTCAGATGGCAGCTAGCAAAATAATGGGAACCTTTTGGTCTGGAATGACCAAGAAACATATTGTCTTCTAGATCCTCCAGGAAAGGATGCAGCCTTGTCAATACCTTGATTTCATCCTGATGAGATGTGTCTTGGACTTCTGACCTCCAGAATTGGAAGATAATAAATTTATCATGTTAAGCCACTAAGTTTGTGGTTTTTTGTTATGGCAGCAATAGAAAACAAATGCATGTGGTATGGTTTCTCTATTCCAATTGAAGTGCTAAATTATTGATTCTAAGTAGAGTGTGAAAGGTTAACTATGCCTGTTGTAACCCCTAGAGCAACCACTAAAAATATATACAAAGAGATATAGTCAAAATTACAATTGATAAATTAAAATGAAACACTAAAAAAAAGTTCACATAACCCCTAAGAATGCAGGAAAGGGGAAACAAATAAAATGGCAGACCTAAATACAAACATATCAATTATTACATTAAATGTCAACTAAAAGATAGAGATTGTCAGATTGGGTTTAAACAGTAAGAAGATGTAACAGTTGTAAACATGTATAGAAATGACAACAGACCTTCAAAATAAAGAAACAAAAACTGAAATAACTGAAAGGAGAACTAGGCAAATTCACAATTATAGTTAAAAAATCTAACACTACTCTCTAAGTAATACAAGCAGTAGACATCGAAAATCAGCAAAAATGTAGAAGAATTGAACCATCGACTAGCTAGATCTAATAGATATTTACGTAACACTCCATTAAGTGCTAATTGAAAATATTTCTAAATGAATATAAAAACAATCCTTTTTAGTGTATTTGCAAGTTAAGCTATGAGATGTGAATAATGTATTTGTGTCTTGCTAATGTGAAATACAAGTTCATATTTAGAATAACATTTTTAAAAGCAGCAAAAGTTGTAAAATATTTTAAAATTTAAAGCCAGAATGACCCAATATAAAATAATTGAAATAATAATAATTTAAAAGCTAGCTAACATTATATTAAAAATTTACTCTGTGCCAAACGCTATTCTAAGCACTTTATATGGACTAATTCACTCAGTCCTCACAGGATCCCTATGAGGTAGTTGTGGTTAAACTCATCTGTAAAATGGAAAGAATAATGAAATATAGAGCTCTTAAGTAAATTGACTAAGATATCCACATTGGGGATTATGACAACAATATCAATAATAAAAAATAGCTTTTCTTGACTGAACACTTCCTCTGCGTTGGACACTGTGCCTTACACTTTTTCTCATTTTGTTTCTAAACTAGGTATTATAATCCCCATTGGATAGGTGAGAAAATTGAGGCTTAGTGTGATGACTTGCCCCTGTTGGTACATCTAAGTAGAATGTAGCAAAGCAGAAATCCAACCCATGGAGACTGTCTGTAGAACCTAAGGTCTTCATCTCTGTACTGCCTACTGAAGATACTGCGTTCATCCTGGGAACTGAGAATGGTTCATCCTTGGATGCTTGTGGTCATCAGGCAGGGGGCACAGAGTCACATAGTTCTGACCTTCAAAAGGCATTGACTTCCCAATGACTATCCTGTCCTGGAGTGAGATAGGGCTGGGTAAAAGTGCTTAGATCCTTGATTTTAGAAAATGTGTTTTGTTGTGGCTTGTGACCTCTTCTATCCTCAGCCAAATGTGACAACCTAAGTACAGGCCATGTTGGAGTGACCTGACCACACAGTTCTTTTTCGTATTGCAGGGGTTGATTATGAGGCACTTGACACTTAGAATGAGAGTTATTGCTCCAAATTTGATTTTGATTTGTTCCCTAATGAGTCCAACCTGTTGTATCTCAAATTACCTTTTTTCCTGCACTGCATTTACCATACTCTGTTATTACGTGTTTGTTTGTGAAGTATTCCTTTTAGTCACATCAGCTGTTTGTGGGTGATACATTCCTGCAATCTTACATTCTCAGGCTGAAGGTCTGAAGCTTGCTTTTCCTAATATTTCCATTTTAGAAGTTTTGTGAGTTCTTCTGACCTGGTACATTGCGATATGGACAGACTTCTCACTCTTATAAATGTTTTTCTCTCTAGGCACCTTTATTTTAATATAAATTTTAAGGATATTCGTTGAGATCCTAGTTGACATAAGCCTGTGTTTGTCCTTCAAAATGCACCCTTAACTCTGGAAAGGAAGATGCTAAGTTTAAAGCAAGGATTGGCAAACTGCGGTCTGCTGCCCGGTTTTGTAAATAAGGTTTTATTGGAACACGGTCACACTCTTTTATTTGGGTGTTGTCTATGTCTCCTTTGGTGCCACAACAGCAGGATTGAGTAGTTGTGACACACCATCCAGCCCACAAAGTCTAAAATATTTACTAATTGGCCTCATCTGGAAACTGCCTGCCCCTGGTTTAGAGACGTAGAAAAGCACCCACTTGATCATACAGGTTAAACATGCTATTATTTTTCTAGTAAATGTCTCTAGCTCTGCTTTCCCTGGAGAAGAAATAAGTAGTTTTCTTTTTCTTTTTAAAATTTTTTCCACCACACTTTATTGAGGTATAGTCGAAAAGTAAAAATTATGTATATTTAAGGTATACAACATGATGATTTAATATATGTATACATTGTGAAATGATTAGCACAATCAAGTTAATTAACACATCTATTACCTCACATAGTCACTATATTTGTGTGTGTGCGGTGAGAACGTATAAGAGCTGCTCTCTTAGCAAATTTCAAGTATGCATGGCTATTATAAAAAAGACAAGATATAACAAGTGTTAGTGAGGATGTGGAGAAAAGGGAACCCTTGTACACTGTTGGTGGGAATGTAAATTGGTACAGCCATTGTGGAAAACAGTATGGAGGTTCCTCAAAAAATTAAAACAAGAACCACCATGTGAGAACTAGCGATCTTGCTTCTGGGTATATCCAAAGGAAATGAAATCAGTATTTTGAAGGGATATCTTCACTCCCTTGTTCACTCCAGCATCATTCACAGTAGCCAAGATATGGAAACAACCTAAGTGACCGTTGAGGGATGAATGGATAAAGAAAATGTTATATATGTATATACATATATGTAATGGAATATTATTTAGCCATAAAAAGAAGGACATCCTGCCATTTGCAACAACATGGATGAACCCGTGGGACATTATGCTGAGTGAAATAAGCCAGACACAGAAAGCAGTCTTCTTCTGAAGCATTTTTTTGTGTGTGTCAACCTCATAGTTTCATTCATTGCTTTAACTTTTCTATAACTACTCTGATAAAAATCTTAAAAATTCAGTTCCTTAAAAATGCTTTTCCTGATATTTGTAGACATTACCAATCAAATGTTTCAATCTTGTTCACTGTGAAGTCCCCTAACACCACTGAGAAGTTTCATGTTCTCTCTCCCTTTATTCTGTTTTCTAGGGGTCACTGAAGTTGTTTTAGTAGAGACACACTCTTTTGCGGAGTGACTTCTTGTGTCTTCATGCGGCCATGGATCTGGATAAACCATCTGTCTGGGGCTCCTTAAAACAGCGGACCAGGCCTTTGCTAATCAACTTGAGCAAGAAAAAGGTGAAAAAGAACGCAAACAAACCCCTAGACTTAAGGGCGAGGCATCACCTGGATCGCCGCCTCAGCCTCTCGGTCCCTGACCTCCTGGAGGCTGAGGCCTTGGCCCCCGAGGGTCGGCCTTACTCTGGGCCCCAGTCCTCCTATACTTCAGTGCCCAGCAGCCTGTCAACTGCAGGGATCTGTCCCAAGACCAGCGGTAGCTCCTTGAAACAGTCTGAAGAAGAATTGGATTGGAGCCAGGAAGAAGCTAGCCACCTCCACGTGGTGGAAACGGACTCCGAGGAGACCTACGCCTCTCCCACCAAGGACAGGAGAGCTTCCAGCAATGGCATCTTTGATCTGCTCCAGAAAACTCCCCTCGGAGAGGATGCACCGGAAGAGCCGGAGGTGAGACCAGGGCTGGACACTTTCCTGAGTTTTTCTTTTCTTTTTTTCTTCTTTTTAAGTGCATTCAGTGCCCTTGGAAAATTTGGTTAGGAGTTATTTTTGTGGTTAGCTTGAATGGAGAGAATGTCATTTACAAGAATTTAAATTAAGGTAATATTGATTGCACACAGTGTTCCCATTAGATTTAGAGTTGACCTCTATGTATTTTAAAACTATACCAAACTATACAAACTAGGACACTTAAAGGCATTAAAAGCCCTATTGGATGAGTACTCCTTTTTCCATCTCTGGACAAAGAAATTAACAGCATAACTTTTCCTCTAACTTTTTGCTTAAATGTGTATCTATCTCTCTGTCTCTGTATCTTTCTCTCTACACCATTGCCCAGTCCTACCATAGAGAAAAATGCACATTAATATTCCTAAGAAATGTATGAATGTATTTCTCCCTTTGACTGCCAGAGAGGTTGAGCTTCCTTATACACGTGCGTGAACACTTACTTGTGGGCAACTTCACTTGAATTCTCTAAAAAAAACTAAAAAGCCAAAAAGTAAAGGAAACAAATTCCTATCAATTCAGTGATTTACACAAAGCTTTCGTATTTCAGTAAGATCAAACAGCCGAACATAATTATGAGGCAAATCTTATATTTCTAGGAAGAGTTTAATTTAAATTCAATCACTAGATTATTAAATCATGATTTGGATGATCAATTTAATCAGATTTTTTTCAATTCTTCCATTAATGACACTGAAGTAGGTCACAATATTGAGTTAAGGGGTTAATTTTTCTATATTCCAGGTTAGTGTTATAATTGCATAGAAAACTGGTTATTCAATTGGGATTTTTGGTTTTAATTTTAGAATCAAAGCCTATTAATTATGCCGTACATTTGAGTTTCATTGGGGAATGGGATTGTGCATGTTCTGAGGATGTTGTGGTCATATTCTTTAAATTACTTTACTATTTTTTTCATTACCATTAACATTCATGAAATCCTTTTTACAACAATTTTATGATTTTTACCGTTTATAAAGTTGAAATGTGTTTTCACTCATCAAAATATAAATTAAGTGAATTATTAAACTAGTTCAGTATGAAGGAGGTAACGTTGAATTATATACTGAGGTTATCTTTATCTTCTTGTTACTTATTAACTGACTGGAAAAAAATGGGTGGGCTTCTTGGCTTTGATATGCCAATAATTTCAAATTAGAAGAATTTTTTTTTAAAGTTAGTGCTGTGAAACTATTTTAGCATTTCAGTAGACTTTGCTGAATATAAAAATTTGAATGCCTTCTCTAACTCAGGCACCATAAGGGTTACTACTGGAATTAGAGATGGATAAGAAAGTGACCCTGCCCTGAGTTAGGATCTACTGGGAAGCAGCTTTGCAGAGCACTAATTGTAGCATAAGAGGCAAACAGATATCAGGACTGTCCGTGCAAACCTTCAGGCCGTGTCTTCTGGGAGCTCAGTGGATGGAGGAGATCAGTGTGTGGGGACCAGGGGCATGTCATGTGTGAGGCAATGTCCAAGCTAGCACAGAGGATAAGCAGGATTTGACAGGTGAGGAAATATGGTGAACATGGGCCTGAAGTGTGGATGGGGGCAGTGAGGGGTGGTGAGCGTTTTGCTCTGCCTGGAGCAGAGGCTTGGGGGGCTTCCTGGTGTGAGGTATGTCTGGAAGGGTGGGCTGTGCTGAGAGGCTGGTCAGTGATAGCACATGGATGGTTGGCAGATGGAGGGTTGGTAGCGGTTATTTTCTCTTCTCTGGGCTAAATGCAGAAAAGCCTGGAATACACAGTCCTTTCAGAATAGGTTATTCTGGGTAATTTGGTTTTCTCTTTTAACTCAACTATTTTTAAAAAAAACCTTCTTTCTCGAAAGACAATCTTTTGCTTCTCTTTTCCTGCCCTGGGAAGTACAAGATAGGACTGAGACTGATTCTTTCTTCCATGGCCACTTGAGTGCCATTTATCTGCTTGGTGGCCTGTTTGCAGGGGATGGAGGGACTGGGCTATAGCTAATCAGACCTGTAGATCACTTGTGGTCAAGTGCATTGTTCTGCCTACCCCCTCCTTCCTCTCCTCCTCCTCCTCCCTCTACTCCCCCTGTATTTGGTGGGCCCCTCCCATCCTTCCTCTACTCCCCCTGTATTGGGTGGGCCCCTCCCATCCTCCCTCTACTCTCCCTGTATTGGGTGGGCTCCTCCTACTCCCTGAGGATCTAATTTTTCACATGGTACAGAAGTTAGCACTCCCTTACTATCTTTTCCACTAGGCTGTGTTAATTTGGGGACTGGGTGTGGCTGGGGGAGTCATGTCTAATTTGTCTTTGTTTTCTCAGCGCCTAGCTTGGTGCGTGGTACAAAGCATAGGCTCAGTCAATATTTATTTAGTACAGAAATCAATGATAGAAATGTGTGCATTCAGGTTAAAAGTTTTTTGCTAGTGATTTTATTGTGAGTTCTCTTTAGTCTATCATTTAACTGAGGTCAGCATTTTTTTTTGAAAGAAACACATCATACTAGAAATTAATTCTCTTTTTATATCGTATTAACTGAAAATAGAGATTTACGCAGGTGTAGACTTTTCAGCCCAAGTCTGATACTGATTTTAAATCTGAATGTGTTATCTCTGCCTTTTTTTCAATGAAGATGGAAGTCCTGGCTGAATTCATGTTATCTGTGAGTTTTGGAGTTGGTTAATGCAGATTTCCAGCATAGTTCATCTCCTTTCTTCCTAATGAATAGTGAGCAGCTTTCTATCACTTTCATGGAATAGGGGGAGAAACGAGGAGGAAGGAAGGAGTTGGCATGTGACAAGCCTGGTGTATAACAAGGACAATTAGATGATTGCCAGGTATCTTTGGTGTGACTTATTTTGTTTGTAGCTTTCCAGAGAGGGTAAAGCAAGGAACATCCGTGGTCTGAGGCGCCCGTTGGGGTTTGCCTCACCTGTTTTATGTCCAATGCTGACTTGGCTCCCGGGTGAGCTGCAGCAGTGGGATAGGACCCCAAATCTTGGTATTGTCTAAACGTTCTACAGTCACTTTCCAGTCCTGCCAGTGTCAGCAAAGGAAGTGAAGTGTTGGCTTACAGTTATGAGGAAATGGAATGATGAGGCAAAGAAGAAAATTAAGGATGAGGGAAGAAGAAAAAGGAACATGAGAATGTAGAGGCCAGGTAGAGCCTGGAATAGTCTCAATGCACATGCTCAAATGAGCCGTAACACCAAAATGGGAGAAAGTGGGTTCAGAATAAAGGATACATTGGTGGAAGAGGATTCTCCAGACTCTTGAGCCCTGGATTCATATCACACTGGATCTCCCATAGGAACCCGATCTCAACTTGACTTGACAGAATTCACTGTCTCCCTGAACTGCCCTCACACATACAGACCATCATTTCTTGGCAACATTGCCATTATTCACCTAGTTGCTCAAGGAAAAACCTGTGAATAATGTTAGACTGTTTTACTTTCCTTGCTTTTCACATCCTGTGCAATCTTCATTTATCCATCTCATATCTCTCTCCTCCTCCCTTATCTACTTCATTCTTCTCTTACTGAAATCCCCTCATCCTTCAAGGCCCAGCTGAAATCTTCCTTTTCCGTGGTGCTTTCCCTGACTCTACAATTAGTATACGCACCCTGGCTTCGTTTGCACAGTATGCCACTTTTACTACTATTGAGCACTAACCTCATTCTGCTTTCTGTAGAAATCTGTAGAGAGGAAGGGATTAGAACAGGTAGAGGAGGGAGAGAGGGGAGGGCAAATGGGTACTGGGCAAGGGTGTGACTGGGTAAGACCCTGAGAAGGTAACCAGGCTCCAAGACCTATATACACTGTCCAGTGGCCATCTGCCCTGTGGGTTGCTCATGATAACCAAATGATAATGAGACTAGCAACAAATGGCAATCACAACTAATTTTCAATGAGAATAAAATACTGTGTAGACTTTAAGGTTCATTTTGATATAAACAGCTCATTCTTCCATTGTTGTTAAGTTACTTTGGAAGTCGACTCATAATCAACACCTGCTTCATTAACTTCTTAGGAGAAATGACTACTTTGTAACTTATTATGCTTGAAATACTTGCAGAATGTATGTTAGGTACATTTCCTCCCTGAAGTCAGCCTATGTGAGAAGTCACACAGAATCAAGAGATTGCTTGGTGAATATGAATCATGGTGAGAACAGATAGGTTCCACACTGAATGGCATCTGGCATGCCATCCATCTCAGAATAGGGATTGAGCTGCAAATGAGAACGGGACATACTCAAACTTTGTTTGCTAGGGCCTCCTACATCCATCTCCACATGCCAGCCTGCCTAGCCCATGAAGCCAGGATTCTTAAAGTCCTGTGGCATAGGTTCTTTCTTCCATCTATAGCATTCAACTCCAAACTTTTACCTAGGCTTCCTTGTATGACCTCTTCCTTTTTGTGGTTGACACATTATTTTATTAGTTGTATTACCACTTTCAATCAGGCTAATATATTATCATGGTTGCCCGGCCACCAGGTTATCTCCTTTAGGTGACTTTGGTTATCTGGCCTCTGATGGATGAAAGGAGGTCTTAAAGTTTCATTTTCATTGCTCTCATCACTAAGACTTGGGACTTAGGAGGTGGTAAGTGCACGTTACGTTACTGCCAAACACCACCGTCACCTTGTATGGTCATCCGTTGCTTAACGATGGGGATACTTTCTGAGAAATGCATTGTTAGATGATTTCGTCATCGTGAGGACATCATTGAGTGTACTTACACAAACCTAGATGGTTTAGCCTACTACGCACGTAGGCTATATGGTACTAATCAGATGGTAATCACACACCATCACGTATGTGGTCTGTAGTTGACTGAAACATTGTTGTGCGGCGCGTGACGGTATTTAGTTAGTTGTTTAGAAGTCAGCCTCTCTTGTTAGATTGGGAGCTCCTGAAGAGTAGAGATGATGTCTTCTTTTTCTTCTGCCAGCCTTTTTGCAAACCT